AAGGACGTGCAAAATGGTCACACATTCGAGAACTCTATGAAATTGATAACGCTATACCAGACTGTAAAATGTTGCCCAGATTGACTGACCGACATGTTGTGCCTGAGAAGATACTAAAAATGAAAGTGAAATGTGCGACACAAGTATTTTCTCAACGTGTATCATCTATAATGCTGTTTTTAGCCTGTAAGTGTTAACAATTATATTATTTATGTATAAATAGTTAGTTTGTTTTTGATTCCTATTTATAATTACTATTTCATCTTTTACATTTCTGTTAACAGCTAAAAATTTAATTGAATCAAATGCCAAAGACACTGCGAAAATCTGTTTATTTTTTGATCAATTATTTGATTCATTGAATGGCAGTTGTGATGGAGTTGTAGATGGCAAAATATATCGTACAGCTGTTACAGCTAAATCTTCTCATCATGCACTTTGGTCTTACAGTCTGAAGGTACTTTCCACAATGCGTTTTGTTAAGGATGGGAAAACATCTTTTACCCCAACATTGAATAACTGGATGACAACAATACGAGGTTTGTTTACCACATAATTATTATTTATTTTTATTAAATAAATATATATTTATCTAAATTAATTTTCTATGTATGTTTTAGGTTTTCAAACACTTTTTAAAATGTTACAAAAAAATGGCATTCATTCGCTTTTACCACGGCATGTTAATCAGGATTCGTTGGAATGTTTTTTTGGAGCTTCTCGAAGTGTCAGTTCAAGCAATCCATCGTGTAATGCATTTGCATCTGCTTATAAAACATTGCTTTTAAACAATTTGATGTCACCAAATTCCCCTGGTTCAAATTGTGAGGATATGGTTGAAGCTAGCTTGACGTCATACAAGCATCTATTTCAAATTAATCCGGATGAATTGGTTAAGGTAAATTATCAATTTACATCAGTTGACCTACCAGTTACAATTTATAACCCAACAGTAGCCATCAATGATATACGTGGACAGGTTCAAACTTACATAGCTGGTTATATTTTGAAAAGGTTAAACAAAAATATATTTAAAAACTGTCACAATTGTTTGCAAAATCTCTGTGTTGACAACATTTCCAGTGAACATAATATCATCTTGGCTAGAGAATATACTTCTAGACTTTCATTGAAATACCCATCTACTTCATTCGGTTTTTTGGTTCAACAGATTATAACATATATTGGTCAACAAATGTCAAAAATTTGTCATCATACAAATATTTGCAAAACACTGAGTACAGATATTAAAAATAATTTCAGTTTTAATAGTCTCTCTCTTTGTAATAATCATGGTGAAAATCTTGAGAAAAGAATTATTGGCACTATTGTTAACTTGATGGTTAACCACTGGTGTACCGAAGTTAATAGAATTTTATTAGGAAAAAAAAAAATGCATAAGTTGGAAATTGACCCAATGAAACTGAAAGCAAATACTTGGTATTTAAAACATAGCAAAAAAGTTAAAACAACTGTTGGAAAATTCAATCACATTCCATAATACTAATATACTTATACTACTCTGTTTTAAATCATGAATCTCAAATCAAAATGAATTTACTTTGAATATTATTAACAATTTATATACGTGTATATTTAAAATATCGTGCATTTTAACCTATTTATTGTTTTTATTTAATTAATACTAGTACTTGTAAACATACTTGTAATATAATATTATAGTAATTAATAAGACTGATACTTAAAATGTGATAATTTAATTAATTATTTGTAATAACAAATATTTAAATTGCTCAGTATACATATACATTATTATATTGTCTCAACATTAAAATGTATCAAAATGAATTTACTTTGAATATCATTATTAATTTGTACCTGTTTGTTTAAAATATGCATTTTTAACTACCTATTGTTTTTATTTAATTAATACTAGTACCTATTTGTAATTTTTATATATTGTTTGTAATGACTTAATTTAATAATATTGTGTACAATAATATCTGAATGTTGTTATTTGTAATTTGTGAAAATAAATTCCTTTGTTTATATTATTTTGAATATTGCTTTTTTTTTTTTTTGTATTTGACATTTTTATATTTTATTGGCTGGTATAAATCATTGCAACATATTTTATATTGCTACAATGGTCACACTGTTTTAATATCTTGGCCCAACCACGAGGAGCGCTTAGCGCTGTCCCGTTTTTTCAACATTGAGTTGGCTATCTATAAAGGTATTCTAATCTATGGTGTCTGGTCTGGCTGCGGCCGGTGGTATTTCTGTAGTTTGCCACTAGCGGCGGCAGCGTGGTTTTCGTGATTCTTGATAGAAGTTTCAACGGTTTTGATTATAATAGATTACTATATTCTTGTAATATAATACGTAATGGTTGTTTTATTGTAAATTTAAGTTATTGTATTATATTTATGATTTATTGTTAACTTTAAATAGTAAAGTTGATGAAATACGTGACACGTATAAACAGTGCTCGGATGCAGCGCACTCTATGATCATTTTATTGAAGCTCGAGAGAGCTGTTCACGATTTTGTTATGGATGACTCCGCCAGGAGCGGCGTATGTTATTAGCGTCGAACTAGTATTTCTCGTTACAATTGCATACATAAATATGAATATAATTTTTTTCAGCAATAATTTTCTTTGTTTTAATACTTTGACCACTTGATAATATCACAGGGACACGGAGATTGCTATTACTAGAAGTTGATTTGCTAGAATGAAATACTGTAGTTGAATCACTCAGTGACATGTATTTTACCAACGTACTTAATCTTAAACGTTCTACAGCTGAAGTATAGTTGGGCAATCAATAGTATGCAATGTATGAGCAACGAATTTCATGAATGTACGCAGTATGCATTAAAGTTGAATACCTAGCGTCTAGCTGTTTGGAGGTGTCAAATAATTAGACAACACTCGGGAATAGAGCGAACAAGAGAGCAATAAAGTACTATACGATAAGTGGTAACTTGAAGTTCATGGATTACGCTTCATGTACATTGCAGGAGTTTTCAAGTTTTTTGCTAGTTTTATTAGCAATGTGATTACGGATGGTCTACTTTAAATTGAAGGTTAAATCTTCGAGATCCTTAACCATATTTCACGAAGTAAGACTCTCACATCAACAAAAGATGAAAAGTGCCTTAACCTTACTTGCCACAGGAAAAATCATTGATGATAATTTGGATAGAGAAATATGATGAGTAACAATAATATTAATGACTATGTAGTAATAACAAATAATGTTTGATATATTTGATTTAGATAATTAGTCAATATAATATTTCCTATCTTTTATTAGACTAAAATTCTTGTAAATTGCCTACATTTTAAATTTGCATTGATAAAAATATCTTTCATAAATAATCAAGATATTGACCACAGACGGTTATAATATTAAGCTAACGAGATGCGCTCGAGTGGGCATGGACAAAAACATCGGACAGAATTTCATGAAGACCAAAAATAAATAAATAAACCTGTCTACAACTATTTCGAAAATTGTATTTAGGATTTTCGTTCACTTGGCGATGCCGACGACTAGATAGTTTCTATATCCAATGTGAGAGGACTAAAACAAATAATAGGGTGTCCTTTTTCGACGATCGCAAACGATTGGGCTACCCCACGTCGTATTCGCTCGAATAATATATTATACAGTCGTACTTTAAGTACACTTTAAAATCGAATGTGTATATGTATATAATACATTATATACACTCGAGTGTGTCCGACCGACGAACACGCCATTTGGTGATTTTAATTTAGGTACATAAATACTATTCGCGAGCGCGTGTCTAGAAAATGTTGTTGCTTAAACTATCAGAATGAAAATAAAGCGTTAACCTTTTCGCAGTCGGCCGACACGTTCAGAATGCTGCCGTCCGAAGTGCCATATTTAGAGGGGTTGCTCAAAGGGGCGGCACAATACTGTGTTCTACATTTTTATCGAAACCCAAACAGAGAGGGTACGAAATACGTTTCAACTGAAAAACGAATTCGAGCTGTACAACGGATGCAACTGAGATGCAATTCGTCTACCGCTAAACGGGACGACCACCATGATGATAATATAATCATCATAATTTTGTTGAACAACATTGCACCGCAACAAAAACACGTCTTTATAATAACATTATACTGTTGTAATAATAATTTTGCATAATATATAGGTTACTATGTTTACGGTGGTTTAAATATTATTACGACGCGATCATGCGCTTTTTTGAAGGACATCGGTCGTAAACCAGTGCACAACTTTTGGCATCATCGTACAATAACAACTCTAGTGATGGACTTGTAACTGAACGATCTTCCAAAGTAGGATCTCCGCACCGGATCTGGCAGCATTTCCCATCTCGTATAACTCACCAATTTAATACGGATACGTAAGGCCGTAAACTACACACTACATACGAATGTAAAAAGTGTAATATTTCGAAATAAAATATTTTTTTAATACGAAGTAGGACACGGGTAGTTCGAACACGAGTGTGCATGGCTTAGTGGTGGTTACGTCTTCTTGTAATGCTCTAAGTAACGAGAACAGCAAAAGACACAATCATAATAATGTACAGTGTTATTATTTGACTATCATAACATTTTTTACCGAGTCAATGTCAACCCGAGATGTCAATAACACATTATTATAATTTATAATATTCCGTCAATTTATTAGGACAGAAATAATTTTTTGAACCTAAGCCCCCTGCTATAGTAGGTACACACAAAGATAATAATTTACATTGCGTAATAGTAATACAAAAAAAATTAAATAATTTTTGTTTTTTTTTATCATATAGGTACATTTTTGTAATATTATCATACACGTATAGTATGACAGTTTTCATTTTTCTTTTTCAATAAATTAAAAATATTGATTTGAACAAAAGTTATTTCATTTATCAGGTCTTCCTGTTTCATCCTGTATAAGCGAATAGTGAGTGATATTTCATTGAAAATATGTATTCATAAGAGAATGATACTAGATACCACGTAAATAAGTAGTATTAAAGGCTGCGGTATTTTCATCACTGATGATATTAAATTTAACAATGTAGAATAATAACTTAAAAATACAAAAAAGTGGATGTCGCTCTGCTGTACAGTAGGTTACAAGTGGGTCACTGTATAATGGATGGTATTAAATTTGAATTCAATGATATAATATCATTGTATAAGAAAAACGATTCTGAGCGGAGGCGGTATGTCAGTCTAGGTTAGGTTAGGTTAGGTTAGGTTAGGGATTTTTCGGATTTTTTTCCTGTGCAACAATTAGACAGTTCACCACAATTAGTAGCAGCTGGTCACAGGTTAACTGACGTATAATCACAAAACAATAACCACTTTTAATTTTTCGGACAAAAGCTTATCACTCGACGATAGAAAGTGATAACACAGAATATTCTGGGGTAATCGTAAATCGTAATATTAAACTGTAGATTGTATAGATAGGCCATATTTTGATTTTTTTGATTCTTCAGTTTCATATTATACCGACGAATAATATTTTTAAATTACAACAAAATAACCAAAATCGTTATTACTGATTTTAATAAGTAATTTCGTCCAAATTTGAATTTAAAATGTCTGTAAAAAATAACTGTGTTTATGTATTTTGTAGATTTTTTGGTTACAGTATGAACTATTTATGAGAATCTTTGTTTTAAATTTTCAATCCTTAGTTATAAAAACTGAACATTTTATAATTTTTAATTACAGTGATTAATAATTTTCGAGATTTTGATAAATTTTGTCAAAATTCGAATTTTAAATGCTTATTAAAAAAAAATTGTGCCTACGTATTTTAAATATTTTACAATTGCTATTGTAAAAATATATCAGGAGCCTTGTATTAAATTTTCAAGCTTTTTCGCCCAATAAATAAAATTTTATTGGTATTTATAGAAAAAAAAACTAAGAAAATTGAAAATTGACAATGTCCGTAAACATCTCAAAAAGAGTCAAATTATTTTCAAAATTTTATCGTGTTTAGAAAATGCTAATATCAACATTCAGTGAAATTTTCAAGTATCTACAGCCATTCGTTTTTTAATTACAACAAAAACAGAAAATCGTTACATGAGAAATCGAGTGAATATCAAATGTTGTAAAAATATGAATTTCAAACGCTCATAAAAATTTAATTTGACTTTCTAGTAGACATTTTTTTTTTTACAAAGGTAGACAAACTTATGAGGAATCTTGTATTACATTTTCAAACCTTAGATTTCAAAAGAAAAATTTTTACGAATTTTAAACTCAAAATAATTTGCTAATTTTCGTGATTTTTCCGTATTTTGTCAAGATTTGAACTTTAAATGCTTATAAATAAAAACTGTGACTAACGATTTTTAATTTTTTTCATATGCCTTTGAAACAATATACTAGGAGCCTTCTATTAAATTTTCAAGCTTTTTTAACCAACAAATAAAATTTTATTGATATTTATAGAAAAAAAAACTAAAAAAATTGAAAACTGACAATGTCCGTAAACCGTTCAAAAAAAGTCAAATTATTTTCAAAATTTTATCGTGTATAGAAAATGCAAATATAAACAACCAGTGAAAATT